GSSRAWAGMGGRKRGRGGGGGGGGGGGCGAATTGGGTGACTAGTCACCCCCCATTTCTCGAATGAAATGATAATKCAAATTTAGGAAATAGTAAATTATTGGGTAAAAAAACGAGGATACACGTAATTAGTCTTGGTAATGTATATCTTAATTATGCGAATAACTATTAGGTTATTATAATACCTACTTCTAAATGCTAGCTCTCTAAAAAAATTACCCCCCTAAAAAAAATCCTGGATCCGCCCCCGGCCTGCCTGGGTGGTTAAACTGACAAAGAAACACACGTTTCATACAAACATTGGAAGYATTGGACAAACAAGCAAAACAAATAAATTAAACAACAATACATTGTTTTCGTATAATCGGTAAAATGCAATCAGAGATATAGCAAATGCGAGTAACGGTAGAGGCAATTTCCTGGACATTCAGCGGTGGGAGTGGAGTCAGAGTCATGAAAGAGTCATGCATTACAGCTTTGCAATATGAAGGGAACATAAATCAATGTGGTGGTAATTAGAATTCATGAATCAGTACAAAGATTGGACAAACAGGAATCAAGAACAATTGAAGAAAAATTGTTAGGAAACATAAATCAACTCAATGATTCTGCTTCCACCTCCGATGGACATCCTGCGTTGAAGTATTTCAAAGTGTCATTTATCTACTTCGATTATTCACATATATCTAGCAACTTTTGCCTTTTTTGTCTTCAAGCTTAAGGTAGAAGTAATATTTGGTGACAGTAATGTGGGAAACATTGCCATTGATGACACTAGCTTGWCAGAATCTGAAAAGTCCTGCGAGTCTAAAGGTACTGCGACTAAAGACCGTTTTAACATTTTGAGTATTCTGTGCATGCATTTTTCAGTTGAAGCCAGTAAATTTAGATCTGTGTGTTGTTCTCTGTTGTTGTATTTCTCTTAGAGGCTGATTTTTTCACTCTTTCCTACTTGTTTTTGCTTATYGAGGTCAACAAATTGTCAATACAATGGTCAATACAATTGTCCTTGAATAATTGTCTTATTTTATGCTTGCAGACATTACTTGTCCTCCTGTTCATATACTCGGTGGTAAAACAACTTGTAAAGACAAGCCACTTCCAGTTGGTAGTGTCTGTGAGGTTAAGTGTGAAGAKGGYTTTGTGATCGACAAAAGTGGTTCACTTTCGTGCTTACCAATGGGAACTTGGGATAGAATCCCTGTTTGCAATCCAAAAGATTGTAAGTTTCCCGATCATTCAAATCTAGAAAAAGATAATTCTGTCCTTTACCATTTGTGCTAATACATGGTTCGAGAGGTTTTGTGAGTTTTGCCTATGCGCTAGTGAAATCCACGTTTAAAAGGACAATTATAGTAATAGTTCCCCTTTTTTTGCCTAAGCCAGATAGAGACTCCACCTCACCCATGGGTATACCTTCTTCATTGTTCTGATAATAGGCGTGGCTGTATGTCATCATTTGTCTTGAGCCATAAATCACAGGGTAACAGAGTGCTTTGGAAATATAATTGATTTTCTTAATAAGACAGCATGTATGGAGTCCTATTACATATAATACGTATAATAACTCATACTAACTCAAAACATTTTTTGATACTAGCTTTTATGTTAGAATTTTTGGATCTTATTTCTTTCCAGTGAAAGTTCGTTTAAAGGGAGAAGTGGGATCTCAAAAGGGTATCGTTGAAGTTAATTACAAGAACGAATGGGGAACCATATGCGGCGATGGGTGGGGAATCGAAGAAGCTCGAGTTGTGTGTCGAATGCTTGGACATGGTCCCCCTTCCAAGGGCCGCATTGCTCTTCCAGCAAAGTTTCCGCCATTAACAATGCCTATTTGGCTGGACAATGTCAAATGCAATGGAAGAGAAGCATCAATTGCAGAGTGTATGCATAATCCATGGGGGGTACACAACTGCGATAAACGTCACACTAATGCTGTTGCCATTGAATGCAGTATTGATGATCCAACAACAGCAGGTCCTACAACTTCCTCGAACACTGTTACGTCAGGTATACTATGGGAATGTTATGTTATCTGGTCATTCGTTCTAACAACGTATTAAGAACGAGTATTAATAGCGCCCTTGAGAACATATAGATATTTTGCATGGGCACTGACGCAACTGCTGATCATGATGAAGRACAAAGAAATCCCAGAAGGCGCGCAGATGAAATGATAAACTATTTCTAAACTGATAAAATGATAGTCTGGACTGTGTTTAATAAATCTGTAAGGAATTGTGACAATCATTTTATCACTTGYTTCTTAGTGTGGTTGGGTTTACCAACATAGATGGATTCATAGCTCAGTTGATAGAGCACTGCACAAGCATCGCAGGTCATGGGTTCGATTTCCGTTGAAGCCCAAATATATTTCTGGTCGCTCCATTTATTAATAAGCGCTTAGATTGTTACAATTTCACTCCAACAATCATAAATCCTTACGCATATCTCTAAACTGCGGGAATTAAACTAAAGTTGTACATGTTCGCTATATCTTACAAAATCTAGGGTTGACAATTTTTTACAGCATAATTCCTGACATTTGTCCAGAGATGCAAGTTTTGGTCAAGATAATTCAAAAATTGGTTTGACGTGTGTTTTTTTTCGTTGCTTTATAGGATCTTCTCCAAAACAACAAAAGCCAGGTAAGGAATTGGAACTATAATAAACGGCTTGATACGGTGACATCTCGTTCAATAACTTCATTTCTTCTATTGCTTTTGCTTTGAAGGGATGACACTTACAGAGAAAATTGCAACCGGAGTAGGCTCCGGAGTCCTTATATTAATGTTGGTTGTTATCACCACACTTTGCTGTATAAGGAAACGAAACAAGCGTCGATCAACCGACGGTCAAGAATTGTGGTAGGTTGAATTTTYTTGAAAATATGGGTGCATTACTTTGGAAAAAAACTTGGTAGTTAACTATAGGTACCTCAATTTTATCAAATACATGTCTGCTGTTAYGTACATGTAATGATTAACATATTAGTCAGGTCACGTGACATGCATATTTAGTGTTAACTTGTGTTGTAGTATGATAATACAGTAGTTAAGTARCGGTCGTGCAATAAAGAAGGGCTAAGACCCTTAGTCATGTCGTAAATAACACCAACTATTGGAGTTGGTCGCTTCCAAGAAAAGAATTTTGTTTCAAGCGTACGGCGTATTAGTAAAAGTAGCTTAGGAGTCCATTTTAGTAACTTGCAATKGTTACAAAGAMTCAGTGAATGGTYTGAGAAGCCTCCAACCGSTGKGCTTGTCTTTTATCTCAAAAATGTTTTTCAYAAGAAAAAGATAAAAKAAAATTCGATTGTTTGTTGACGTCGCTTTTGTCGGACTTYCTTTCCCTCCCGACAGGACTACACTGTAGAACGCTTGAATGTGATGTCAAAGCTGSTTAATCTGTAGGATAAAACAAAGAATTTTTGCCCTTTTGGGAACTAAAATCCATTGTTTCGTCCTCTAGTTGTAGTCATCCCMTKATTCGGGAGTTTCCTTCAAGTCTGATCTGTTCCTTTYGGGGGTTACCTGTGACTCCTAGCATCACCCTCTCATATTAACAGGGYCTCAAGAAGTATATCTTATTCTTTCAGCGTTGAATATCAGGCTAATCCTGTTGTAGAACAGGAACAAGGACCCCCTTCTGACGAGTGGGAGGTTAGCTCCAAAAATGTTACCTTTATGGAGAAGCTGGGTCAAGGTGCGTTTGGTGAAGTATTCAAAGCAATTCTAAAAGAACCACCGCAAAGACAAGAAACGATCATAATGGCCAAACTTATGGGAACACCGCAACAGATCAAAAAGAACAGGCATCAACAAATAGTTGCTATTAAAACTCTACACGGTGAGTCCAGGAAATTTTGATAGAAATTACTTATGAGTTCTTTTTACATATWATCTAAGACAACATGATTTGGTCTTGACATAAACTTGTTATGGCTATCATAATGTTAAAATAGAAGACATGGTCTCATTACAGTGGCGGATCCAGGATTTTTCAAAGGGGSGTTCCACTTTCTTTTCGCATTTTCCTAAAACGAACTTTTTTACTGTGCCTCTSGAAGTGTAGMAAATGTAACGTAAATGTAGTTATAGATAGCGCATCTCTGAATGTCTCAAAACACTTTACAGTTCTGTGTGCGTACATTGCAGCCATGTGATAAAAGTGTAATATAAACCCGCTTACCTATTGTAAGACATAAGCCAGCTTCATCCTTCTCGGATGCAATTGCGTACGATGCGTTTTCAGTTCATTTATTTTTATTTTTTATGCTCGAGGGGGGTTCCTTGGAGCCCATGGAACTCGCCCTGGATCCGCCACTGCATTAGTTTTCTTATGAGCATTTGAATGCTCAACTAAGCAATCCGAATTCCGTCAAATATCTAAATACTGAAAGATGAAACTTGAATACTGTCATTCAGTGGTTATTGTGTTTAAAGTACATTCACCAAAATAATACTTTTTTATTGGTCGAGAGGAGCACAATTACAGCGTTAATTGTACTCCTTATAAAATTTTGTTTCGCTACATGTACTATAAACAAAAAATCACACAACCTCTCGTACAATTTGGAATTAATAGTCACTCGT